CTTGGACTTAAGAGAGCGAAAACCCTGAGTCCGCAGAGCAGGGTTGTTCCCAAAGCACGACTGTGTGACTGTTGCTTTTACCTCCGTGGGGCGCGGAGCTCTGACCCGGTCACCTGTGGTCACCTGACGGTCTACACGGGCGCACCTCCGGGCCAGCCCTGACACTCAATCCTGGTTCAGTCCTGGTTCCAGTCCTGGTCCCTGCCCGCGGTCACCCGACGGTCTACACGGGCGCCCCTCTGAGTCCGTTCCAACAGTTAGTCCTGGTTCAGTTCTGGTTTAGTCCTCCTGGTTCAGTCCTGGAATCAGTCCTGGGTTAGTCCTAGTTTAGTCCTGGTTTAGTCCTGGTTCAGTCCATGGCATGTGCGGTGCAAAAGTCCAACAACTCGATCAGTATTTCTTCTGGTCGGTAAATAAATCCTGTGAAGTGATGACGTGTTTTTGACAGTCGAGTCGCGTCTGTGAATTTGTATTCGTAGAAGAAAGTGTAACTGTTTAATTTCCTTTCGTGTTTGTAATTCTTGAAGTCGTAACTTTTCAATTCATATTCTGATGGACGCTTCCGTTAGAATGATTCTGATTTGTGTGTGATTTATCATGGGCACGGGCGGGTAACAGGTGGAATGTTGGCAGGTCCAGGAGGATGCAGGTTTAACTTTGATATAATGACGGGTTACGGGCACTGTTGGGCAAGTTACTTTAAAACTGTAATGCGTTATTTATTACTTATTACTGTCATTTCAAAGTAATTTGTTACATTACAATATAACTGCATTTAAAATGTAAGGCATTACATTACTATTGCATTACTTTAAGTTACTCTCACCAAAATAACTGCGAAAAAGCTGAACTTTTGAGCCGTATATGGACTGAACCAGGACTAAACAAGGTCTAAACCAGGACTAAACCAGAGCTGCACCAGGACTAAAACAGGACTCACTGTCAGGACGGGCTCGAAGGGTGACGCAGGAGAAAGGACCTGCTCTGCTCCGCACCTCACGGAGGTAAGAGTGGCTGTCGCCCGATCGCGCTTTACGTACACCCTGCTGCGGGGGCTCGCGGTCCTGATTTCAGCAACTATTTGCGGGTACAAGACCCGGTGCAAAACTCTGCTACAGCACGTAACTTCTACCTTCCTTCAACGTGTCCAGAAGTCCAACTTTTTGTGCGATGGTTTGCATCGTCCTCTGTCTTTTGGGTGCAGCGCAGGAGACTTTGTCGGTGCAGAACGTTTCGTCGACGTTGTGGATTTTGTCGGAGAGAAAACTTGCAGACATACAGCACTTCAGAAGCACACTGATACAGATTGACCATTTATTTAAATTTGGCAGCTGAACACATTCTGTACTGTACTGTAGAGGAGACAGGAGTCCCTCAGCCGATCAGGACACAGCGGGAGGAACGCAATACGTGTTCATACACTAAAAACAAAAGGCATGCAAAATTGCACAAAAAAAAAAAATTCTAAAAATCAGCGAAACAGCGAGACCGCGAAAAGTGAATCGCCGTTTAGAGCGAGGGACGACTGTAAGCCAGGTCTAAACCAGAAGTGACCCAGGTCTAAACCAGGTCTAAACCAGAAGTGACCCAGGTCTAAACCAGGTCTAAACAGCGTAGAGTTCTGGGTCGGTCCTTTCACCCGCGGTTAACTGAAGGTCTATCCGGCCGCGTCTCCGGCGTTTCACCGCTGCTGATTTCACGGTGATTTTAGCGAATTTCTATGAAGAAAAACCCACCACTTCAATCCAGGTTAAAAAAGCATTGTAACGCGCGTTACTCACATTTGTACCGAGTAAAATATAAAAATTTTTCCCCCTGTAATGCCTTACATTACTGCGTTACAGCAAAAATCAACGCATTACTGTAATACATTACTTTTATAATACATTACTCCCAACACTGGTTACGGGTGCTGTACTGGGCGGGTGTGGGTCTCCAAAACGGACCTGCTCGGTGGTGGTAAGCTACTGCCCTGAAACAGACTGATGAAAGCGAGGCTGCCAATCTGCACCGTCGACCCCTTTTGACAAACTCTTGCACACACCACTTTTACACGAGGCAATGTGGGTGAAGTGCCTCGTCTAAGGTCACAACAACAGTTTTTACCACTGATTTTCCCACTGGTCTCCCATCCAAGTACTAACCAGGCCCAGACCCGCTTAGCCTTTGAGAACTGACAAGGCTGACAAGGAGGTTTGGGCCGCACGATCAAACACTCCAAAAAACAAAATCTAGCCAAGTTAAGATGACTTGAATTAAAAAAGTTTCATCATGATTTGAGTAAATTTCACTTGACGGGTAAAATGATCTGCCAGTGGAATAAGACTTTTTGTGCTTAAAATAAGAAACAAAATCTAATGTTGCTTAAATTAAGAAAAACACACTCATTCCATTGGTAGATACATTTGCTTGTCATGCTGAATCTGCTCAAATAAAGCAAAATGTTCTTAATTTAAGTCATTTTAACTTCTCTAGATAAGCAAAGACAAACTATGGCATCTCCACTAAGAAAATGTTTTGTTTTTGCCTGTTACATTAAAGTGAAAATGCAAGCTTACTGGAAAATTTTAGTTCTTACGCCGACTTACTGAACGCCTCGTAACGCCGCTTCACACGCGTTCGGTTCTTTGACCCGCTGTCGACCGGGACGAGGCCGGTCTGACGATTTGAGTTTAATTGTTCAGCGCGTTTGGATTTCTCTGAGCGTGTAAACACAGCGACCGTCTCGTTCGCTGCGAGCCAACACCACCACAACACAAACATACGGGAGCCGCTCAAAACGTACACAAACATATACATGAAGCTGAGTCATCACGTCCTGGTACACAGTCAACACAAATGTATATTAGACGTGAAAAAGGCAATAAAAAGACGCACTGTGTCACGTTTCTAAGTGTGGGTGTTTGGCCACTTGCTTGTTTCCGTGAATGTCGTTATTGCTTTGTTGGTTTGTCCAAACTACCCAAAAAACTAGATACTCATTTGAGACGGTATAAATACTAAAAAAGTCACATTCACGGGACAGAAATGAAGCTTTAGAATGATCTTGAGCTGTATCAGAACAAGTATAAGAGCACATAGGACCACTGAAGGATTACACACATGGGAATATAACAGAAAGTACTATCATTTAATGTGGAAAATCACATTCCATTGTCCTTTTCTTGTTACCATTGTGGTATTAGTAACAAAATTAGTACTGAGAATCAAGTTTATAGATCTTTTTCACAACGGTCGTAAATGCCCCACTGTAGGTTTGCGGGACTTCCGGTTAATGGTTTTCTATGGCGAATTGTCTGTGGAAATGTCTCGTGTATTTTCCACCAGCTTCATAAATCTGCCCCATCACCAAATCTTCATCCAACAAGATCGACAAAGGACATATTCTGTCCATGAAGAATTTATCCACAACTATCAAGGTAAGAAAGATGAAAACGTAAAGGCGAACAACGACGAGCATTAGTGAACTACTCCTGAACAAAAATAACGGTTATGGTCATGAATAAAACATAAGTAACTCGTGAACTCAGACTGAATCTACAATTAAAATTAAAAATAAATTTCATGATGTAGATATTGGGATAGACAGAGATTTATGCAGTTTGAATGCTACAGATGTTCACAGATTACATGTCTAGCATTTAAACTGCACAAATATCTCTGTCTATGCCAATATCTACATCAGACATGTCAAACCCCAGCCCAAGGGCCAAATTTGGCCTGCAAAATAATTATATTTGGCCCACGAGATCATATCAAATATGTATTAGCGCTGACCCACCGGCTACAGATAGACTATAGAGACATTATTTATTTAAAATGTTGTTATTATTTTATATTCTGCTTGTTCTGGATTCAGTGTTTAAGCAAAACTATTATTACACATTTATTTTAATAAGAAAAGGTTTAACATTACATATCTCAAAAGAAGAGAAAACATTCAGATGTTGTTGAAATTTTTCAATAAATATTTAGCGTGGCTCATGACTTAGTCCCAGTTTTTAATTATGGCCCTTTGTGAATTTGAGTTTGACACTCTTGGTCTACATCATTTTTATTTTAATTGTAGAATCAGTCTGAGTTCACAAATTACTTACTAATGAATTATTTATTACTTATGTTTTATTCATGACCATAATGTTAGTTTTGTTCAGGAGTAGTTCACTAATGCGTCATCGTTGTTCACCTTTACATTTTTGTCTTTCTTACCTTGATAGTTGTGGATAAATTCTTCATGGACAGAATATGTTCTTTGTCGACCTTGTGGGATGAAGATTTGGTGATGGGGCAGATTTATGAAGCACGAGACATTTCCACTGATATTTTACCACAGAAAAACTATTAACGTAAGTGACGTTTACCCTACATCACGACACTTCCAGCCGCTGTGAAAAAGGTTTTGAAATTGATTATGAAATTTTAGTATCATGACAACACTATTGCTTTGCCTAGAATGTTTCACAGTGAGGCTTTAAACTTATCCATGGACCAAGTTACAGGTCAGATCTGTGGAGAGGCGACCAAACTCACAGTAAGATTATTATGGATTAGTTGCGGATGATTTTGAGCAATAAAAAACATCTGTTATACATATGAATAAATGCAACATAGACACGCTTAATGCCATACTGCGGAACATTCCAGTCAAACCAATAATTATCTCCAGTGAGGTAACGCAAGTGGCCAACCTACATTAGAAAAGTGACATGGTGCATCTTTAAATCAGTCATGTGTATCCGTAGAACAGTTTTTTCTTTTATTTTCACAAGAATATATTTTCAGACAAAAAAAACAAAACAACTTTTATAATCAGAGACAGAAAGAATAAAAGGGCTGTTTGTTGACAACAAATTGAAAAACAGAAAGGGAAGCGTTTTGGAGCTGAGACAAAGGCAGCGCCACAGAATACAAAGTTGAACATAAAGAAATCTACTGACTGCAAACATGTATTAATTATACCGAATAATAGAAAAGTAAATATAAATATGCGGGGGACTCACAGTTTCTGGGCTTGTCGTCGTCCAGTCCGTCGTCTTCATTCTCTGGGTCGATGTCTTCTGCCTGAGTGATCCAGTCTAAATAGCCCTGGACACATGAAAAATAAAATCAGCAAAGGCTACTCTAACTGTATAATATAATTCAGATCAAATGAGAAATTAGTTAAAGGTTGTATGGAGGATTTTTGTTTTGTTTTTTTTGTTTCAAATTGTCAATGATAGATTATAGAGGTGCAGTAGCCTTGTAATTATGATGACCAAAAAAAAGAGAATAAAAATTCATCAACTCTGGACGTGGTGGGGCTAAACATTTGCCAATAGATAACGACACTGCCTCGTTATCTGTGAGCTGACAGGCTGTCAGTCAATCTCCCTACGTTTCTAGTGTAACTGACTTGCCTGCGCCGCCGGTACGTGGTTTACGTACGCCTGTCACGCAGTCCACAGACGCAAGACGCACAGACGCTGTTTACTCCACCAACGCAACAGTTCTTAGCGGCTTTTTTTTGACCTATATCTTCCTCGCAGTTCGCACAAAGTTTATTGCAATGGCGACAAGAATCCAGGAGCAGTTCGCCGCAAAAGAAAGTCCGTTTTTGAGGTCGCTGAAAGAAGAAGACAAGGGGAAAAGCAGCGAAGCCAAACTAAGGTGATTCTTGAAGATTCATTCCAGCGATGGCTCCTCACTTCTCCGGGCACAGAATCTCCGCGCACCCGCTCCTCTCTCCTCTCTCTTCTCCCTGCTCCTCACTTCTCGTCCGCGAACGAAATGTCCGCACACCCGCTCCCCCCGCTCCTCACTTCTCCGTCTTGCCTAACCAACACTGTAGTTAGTTGTTTACAAGTCATGTGCAGCACCGGCTGTAAACAAACCTGTTTCTGGCGTAAAGAGGAGGCGGGAGGAGGTGTTTCTACGTAGGAGCTGTAGGGGAGGGGGGGTGGTTTCACGCATGCGCAACATTTGAAAAAGGACAAACAGTCACTGGATTTCTCGTTCCTTGGAAAATCCTCTATACAACCTTTAAGAAATGTACACAAAAACATGGACTAAAAGTAAATAAGTTTCATTAGCTCTAGAAACAGTGAGGGCAGGTAGTGTAGTCATAAAGAATTGTATTTTAAATTTAGTTTAGAATTTATCTGAAGGGACAATGAACACAGAGAAATAAAGATAATAAAAATCTAAGTTGTTTTGCGCTAGGCTCCGATTTACAATAGTTATGTACAGTATGTATGTAATTTGTTTTTATTTTTGAGAATATATTAAGTTAATCAAATCAGTAAGACAGATGTTCTCTAAAGTAAGAACATCTGAGTGAAATAATACAACGTTTTTAAAGTTATTTTTTTAATACATTGCTTTCTGTTATAATTTATTTATGATTGGATGATTGGATTGGTCTCTGTTGTTTATGGTAATATTTTCCCCTAACTTGGACCTGTGTACTTACTGTAAATAGGGTTTGGCTTTCATAAGTGGTTTCACTTCAAAGTCACGTTATAGTTTTTTCGTGAAATGTTTGTATAAATCTATTAAACTCAGTAGTGTTGTAGTCGAGACTGTGCTAATCGAGACCAAGACCAGTCCGAAACCGAGACAGGACTGAGACCACGGCCCATCGAGACCAAATCAACACCATCTTTGTCGTTTTCAACATTTATTTGTATTTTACAGTTATTTTGGTACATATATATCAGTGTTTTTTGTAAATCTGTCTCCATTTTATCACTGTCACTAGTGTCAGACCTCGAGACCAAGACAAGACCAGGTCCAACCGCAACCAAGTCCGACCGCAAAAAAACGGTCTCGAGACCATAAACATAAATAAGAACTACAACACTCCTCAACACTGAAGACAATAAACTACTACTACTGATTAAAGAACCTAATAACATCAATTATCTGAAGACCAAATTAACCTTATTGGACTATTAGTACTACTACTACTACTACTACTACTACTACTACTACTACTACTACTACTACTACTATGACTGCTATTACTATTGTTACTACTACTACTACTGCTACTACTACTGCTATTACTATTGTTACTACTACAGCTACTGCTACTGCTACTACTACTACTACTACTACTACTACTACTACTACTACTACTACTGCTACTACTACTGCTATTACTATTGTTACTACTACAGCTACTGCTACTGCTACTACTACTACTACTACTACTACTACTACTACTACTACTACTACTACTACTACTATTGTTACTACTACTGCTACTGTTACTGCTACTACTACTACTACTACTACTACTACTACTAGCTGCTACTACTACTACTACTGCTACTGTTACTACTACTACTACTACTGTACTACTACTACTACTACTACTACTACTACTACTACTACTACTACTACTACTACTACTGCTACTACTACTACTACTACTACTGCTGCTGCTACTGCTATTACTGCTGCAGCTACTACTAGTACTACTACTGTTACTACTACTACTACTACTGCTACTGTTACTACTACTACTACTACTACTGCTACTACTACTACTACTGCTACTACTACTACTACTACTACTACTACTACTGCTGCTGCTACTGCTATTACTGCTGCAGCTACTACTAGTACTACTACTGTTACTACTACTACTACTACTGCTACTGTTACTACTACTGCTACTACTACTACTACTACTACTACTACTACTACTACTGCTACTACTACTACTACTACTACTGCTGCTGCTACTGCTATTACTGCTACTGCTAGCTACTACTACTACTACTACTACTACTACTACTACTACTGTACTACTACTACTACTACTACTGCTACTGTACTACTACTACTGCTACTACTACTACTACTACTACTACTACTACTACTACTACTACTACTACTACTGCTACTACTACTACTACTACTACTGCTGCTGCTACTGCTACTATTACTGCTGCAGCTACTACTAGTACTACTACTGCTACTACTACTACTACTACTACTGCACAATACATGTACTACTACTACTACTACTACTACTACTACTACTACTACTACTACTACTACTACTACTACTACTACTACTACTACTACTACTACTACTACTACTACTGCTGCTGCTACTGCTATTACTGCTGCAGCTACTACTAGTACTACTATTGTTACTACTACTACTACTACTGCTACTGTTACTACTACTGCTACTACTACTGCTACTACTACTACTATTGCTACTATTACTACTACTACTACTACTACTACTGCTGCTGCTACTGCTATTACTGCTGCAGCTACTACTAGTACTGCTACTGTTACTACTACTACTACTACTACTGCTACTACTACTACTACTGCTACTATTACTACTACTACTGATACTACTACTACTACTACTCCTGCTGCTACTACTACTACTACTACTGCTACTATTACTACTACTACTGCTACTACTACTACTACTGCTACTGCTACTGGTACTACTACTGCTACTGCTACTGGTACTACCACTACTACTACTACTACTACTGCTACTGCTACTACTACTACTACTGCTACTATTACTACTACTACTGCTACTATTATTACTGCTACTGGTACTACCACTACTACTACTACTACTACTGCTACTGCTACTACTACTACTACTACTACTACTACTACTACTACTGCTACTACTACTACTACTACTGCTACTACTACTACTGCTACTGGTACTACTACTACTACTACTGCTACTATTACTACTACTGCTACTGCTACTGGTACTACTACTACTACTACTGCTACTATTACTACTACTGCTACTGCTACTGGTACTACTACTACTACTGCTACTATACTTGTTCAGAAAGTAATGTTTATGCATTTGCCTATAAAACAAACCACATTACATAAAAGTATAATCACTTTTTTAAACTCTTTTTTTCAAACCTTACTCTTTACATGCACTTTAAAATAAGTCTTTAACTTATCACAATCTAAAGGAAATATAGAGCGATATATATATACGATTGCAGATAAATCGGTGAGACATTTGCACTTTTACTCAAATTGAAAATCAGCCTTAAATCTCGAGCGGAGGCCGATATCTGCTTTGTTCTCACTAATTAACACATAAAACTTTCTATTAAGATTTTAGTGCATCAAAGTCGTTGCACAGGATACGATTCCACTGCTCCTTTATGTGTTAGCAGTAAAACAATGTTACGGATGTCAAAAAATTAGATTATCTTTTTATGTACTTATTATTTTTTACTATATTTATTTATACAGAGTAGTAAAAATTATACTAAATATTTAAATTGGTAATCTTGTAATCTAAAACACATTAAAATAATTATTTGTTTAACCTTGAGGTCCTCCTCCAGCTGCTGTTTCTCTCTCAGTTTCTGGAAGTCTCCTCGCGCCTTGGCCTTTTCTCTTTCTTTGGAAAACTCTCTGAAAGATAAATAAAAAACACAAAAACAGATCTGAAAATCTTTGGTGGAAAAACATCGTCGGTTTGAAAAGTTACAGCCCGAATAGACGGCTCAGAAAGTGAAGAGGGGAAATCTATACAGGAAGCAAAAAGGGGTTAGTGTGCAAATTTAAGCATTGACTGAACATATAACAGACACATTTTTAGTCAAATTTACAAAACATCAGCATCTTTGACCATTTGAATTTGTACATATTTGTATCTGTGGTCACCTGAGATCACGTTAAGGTAAAAATGAGATGAGATGTAACATAAAAATCAATCAAATTTGCTTTCAAAGTGGAACATTTTTATGCTCTGATTTGGTTTGGTTTGGCTCAGAGGTGGAAACAAGTCGTTCTTTTACAAGTCTCAAGTGAGTCTCAAGTCTTTGACCTCAAGTCCGAGTCAAGTCCCAAGTCAAAGACAGGAAAGTCCAAGTCGAGTCTCGAGTCACGGGTCCATAAGTCCAAGTTAAGTCCAAGTCGTCTGCTTTGAGCTTATATTTCTTTAAACCAAAGTACCAAATATAGCTTAGACTTTTGCAATTTATATGCATTTTAAACTAAATTGTATGTAAAAAGTCATGGTATATTTATATGTGAGTATTTATATAAGCGTTGTAGAAATGCTACTTTTTCCTTTTTAAATGTCTTGACAAGATCTTAGTGTGAATCATTATGGTCAGAATAGAAATAATTCAGATTTAAAAGAACTTAACAGTTATTTTGTCATGTACTCGGCACTGAAATGAAAGGATCCTGTTCTCTGTACTTCCCTCTGTTTACTGTAGAGTACTGTATATTACTGTATTGTACTGTATATTACTGTAGTACTTTTGAGTATACCACATCACAGTACTTCAGTTACATCTAAAGTAACAGACAGAGAATTGGGAGCGACATGTTTCAGTTTATTCCTGTAAAATTCAGCACCACATTTATCAACTGTAAAGAGAAAAGTATTTCCTAAAAACATATATTTTTTAGAGGCATCAAGTCACAGGCCTCAAGTCCGAGTCAAGTCCCAAGTCTTAGTCCATTTTATCAAGTCAAGTCTCAAGTCCTAAAAATAGTGACTCAAGTCTGATTCGAGTCCAAGTCACGACTCGCAAGTCCCCACCTCTGGTCAGGCCTGTCATGAAACTTATATCCATCGCCATGGAGACAAACAGGTAACGCCACCAGATTACAGGCCAGATCTATGAAGAGGCAACCTTTACTTACTTACAGCAAGAATGCAAGGTTTACAATGTCCTTTTGAGCAATAAAACACCTGTAACTGTACATGAACAAGTTAGATTTGTGTAATGCCATACTGTGGAATTTTCTGAGGAAAGCAAAACCAGAAAAAAAACAAAAACAACATAGTGCAGCTTTAAAGGGTTCGTATTACGCTATTTTCTGATCTTTGTTATAATGTGTCCTCATCACAAACAGACCTGGAGTTGTGTTTTATTCCATTCAAACATTTTAAACACAAACCCTGCATATTTAGGCTGAGTTCTTCTCTAAAAAAGAATACAGAAAGTGCTCCACTGTGTTTTTAAACTCCACACGCCTTCACTAGAATCATTTGGATAATTTCAGTCCTGCTGGAATTGAAAATCTCTACAGAACTCAAGGTAAAATGGAGCTGTTCAAGGGACAGTCTGGAATTTGGGACATAGGACCTCATTTCCGAGTGAGGTCACTGGTGCTAGTCTAGTGCATGTCAATGGCCATAGTTATCCTGCCACTAAAAACAGTCTTACCCACTCCACAAAACACCCAAAGCAAATCTGTTATAGGATAATTTTGGAAGTAAAACCAACCTTGCATTTGAAGAATTTATGTCTGAGCAGCAGCAGTAGTAAGTTGTATTTCCTGATAGAAAGTTTGGCAGCGGCGGACTGATATATGAGAAAATAGTCCCTCAACATGCAACGATTCATGCAATGCAAGGTTAGTTTTATTTCAAACTCTATTCTATCAACACAGACATTTACATGGACAGTCTGGTGTAATAATACATTTTCTTCAGGTGTTTTGTGGAATGGGTAAGACTGTTTTTAGTGTCAGGATAACTATGACCATTGACATGCACTAGTCTAGCACCAGTGACCTCTGCAAATACAAGGACTGGATGGAATATTTAAAAAAGCGTCTCCACACGTCTCCAACACTCTGGATCACTAGGAAATGAGGTCCTGTGTCCAAAATTTCGGACTGTCCCTTTAACTTGAAACCTAGAGGTGCAGACAGACTGATAAACCAGGTGTATACAAACGTGTGAATGAAAAACAACAGAACTTTTTGATGAGGTAACATTTCCCCACAAGAATCCATTTTGCGTAATAGAGGACCTTAAAAGAACAGAGAAACATATGGCCGCCTGTATTATGAATGACACTGAAACTGCTCTGTCCACACTTTTCGACGCATTGTAGTGTGCATTGTGCTGTCTCAGGCCGCAGGTGCTGTGATGCATGCTGGGAGATGCACGACTTATGCTTGTATTATGAGTCTGCCCCAGGACTCCCTCTCAAACGCATGCGCTCAGTACAGCACCCGAGGGAGACAGAGGGTGCCCCCGCCAGCTGTCCCGCCCGGGCACCCTCCTGTCAAAATACTGAAGAGGTGGCACTATAGAGCTTTCTTTACATTAGCATTCATGGGTTTATGTTGCCTGTGGGTAAGTGGAGCTAGACATTGTGCGCTTGAATTTACAAGTGCTACAAGGTTCTGCTTAAGACTGCATTGAAGTAGTACAGTTACTCTGCTTACATCCTAAATAAGGAAAACAGTAAAGAAAAACTTGGCTCTTAACTCGTAATTATGACTTCAAAATTCATAATTATGACTTTTACACTCATATTTATGGCGTTTAAACTCGTATTTATGACTTGTAAACTCGTAATTATGACTTTACTCTGCTTACATCCTTAATAAGAAAAACAGTCAAGAAAAAATTGGCTCATAACTCGTAATTATGACTTCAAAATTCTTAATTATGACTTATAAACTCATATTTATGACTTTTAAAAGCATATTTATGACTTTTAAACTCATAATTATGACTTTTAAACTCATAATTATGACTTTACTCTGCTTACATCGTAAAGAAGAAAAATAGTAAAGAAAAAATTGGCTCGTAACTCGTAATTATGACTTTAAAATTTGTAATTATGACTTCAAAATTTGTAATTATGACTTTTAAACTCATTATTATGACCTTTAAACTCGTATTTATGACTTTTAAACTCAGAATTATGACTTTAGAGCTTTCTTTACATTAGCATTCATGGGTTTATGTTGCCTGTGGGTAAGTGGAGCTAGACATTGTGCGCTTGAATTTACAAGTGCTACAAGGTTCTGCTTAAGACTGCATTGAAGTCGTACAGTTACTCTGCTTACATCCTAAATAAGAACAATAGTAAAGAAAAAATTGGCTCGTAACTCGTAATTATGACTTCAAAATTCGTAATTATGACTTTTAAACTCATATTTATGACTTTTAAACTTGAAATTATGACATTTAAACTCGTAATTATGACTTTACTCTGCTTACATCCTAAATAAGAAAAATAGTAAAGAAAAAAATGGCTCGTAACTCGTAATTATGACTTCAAAATTTGTAATTATGACTTTTAAAACTTCAATGACAGTGCGCCTTATAATCCAGAGCGCTCTATAGTGTGGAAAATACGGTAATTAGATTACTCCATTACCGAAAATGTAGTGCTGTTATACTTAAACACCGTTATTCCCAACACTGGCTATGTCCATTTGTATATACAGTCTAGTTGTAGCGCACAGAGTGAACATGGTACCAAAATAAACCTTCTTTCCCATTCATTTTAAGACAATATTTATTTATTTTTATTATGTTTTTAGCCCATGGAAACCAAGCATTGCTTTTTATAGGTCAATATCTAACTTCCAGCTCAACTAAATTACAAAAACATTCATTTCAGCCTCAAAATAAAGACAAATGTTTTACTATGCCCTGTATTATTTATATCCAATCTATATACGACCGCTCAATTCAATTCCCATCATTGACCCTTAACCTTATATCAGTAGTGGAAAATGAAACCCCTTGATGGAGCTCTTTCTTCTAAAAATACTTCTACTACAGTACGTCCTTCTAAAGTTGGCCCATTATAGCCCTTTTATTCTTAGACTTGAGTGAGCATGTTTTTCTTGGACGTCAGATTTTTGAGGATAAAAATAAGTCTCTGTATATGGCAGTGTGGTGTCTGCATCGATTTTCGCTGCAGTCGATCGGTCTGGGCACGATTGCTGGAGCTGTATGTGTCAGAAACAGATCTATGATGAGAAATGATAAAGCGTCGAGAGCGAGTACGGACAGTGGAGCTGCTCTGACCAGAATTCACAACAAGAATCGATAGCTCCGAGAGTGACCGCGATACCGGTTTGCCCAACAAGATAAAACGGCCTAATCTTTTACATTTATAGTGCTGTCAGTGTGTTTGTGTACACGATCAGGCTTCAACTTACAACCACAGACAGAGAGAAACCAATGCTTGCACTTTTAAAACAACTGAGCGTGGGTTACCTGAGCCTTAACCTGGATATTGACACTTTGCTAATGTCATCTATATTCTCTGGGGTTGTGATGGTAATTCAAGGTGAACAGACGTCCCTGTTTACCCTGTTTTGATCCCTATGGGTAAATTTGTTTTGCAGATTTGAGGGGCAGGTCCCACATTTCACATTTCGTTTATCCACAATATGTACAATAAACATGTATAAACATACAATTACAAAATAAAGTTTTACAGTGCTCCAGTGCAGAATGTTTTTTTCCAGGACAATGTAATAAAATCGATAGATAAATAGATTACAATTTATTCTTAAGTATGATGGCAGCAGAAACAAAGTTCCTTTTAAAATGATGATGATGATTCATTCTAGATCTTGGGACTAAAAGTCTCTGACCAGACGGAAGCACCTGAAACTCTGAGTTTAGTGGATGT